ACCCACACCATGCCCAGCAACAGCCCCTGGTGGTTCTTCCCAGCCCAGCCATTCCTGGTTTTTAAGGGGAAATGTGGCACAGCTCTCCCCAAGCAGCTCTGTGCAGGCAGAGCAAACACCTCCAGGGCTCTCCCTCAGCTTGGGGCTCAGAAAATCCACACCTGGGGCTCCAGCATAGGTCAAAACACAGAACACAAAGCAAACACCAGCCTGTGACTGCCCTGGCACCAAAGCTGCCCCCCAGACCCTGCTCAGCTGCTGAATTCTGAGTGCATCCACAGACTGCTCCTGCTGGGAGTCCCCTCAGCTCCCCCCGTTCCTCCCAGCCCCTGCTTCATTCACAGCCACACCATTCCAGGATTCCCTCTCAGCTTTTCCTTTCCAGGCCTGGAACAAGCCCTGGAGTGAAGCATTCCCCAGCTCTGGAAATGGCAGTACCTATCACCACAATGAGGGGTTTGTCCCACCGGAATTCCGAGCAGCTGATGACAGGAACACCTTCCACATCCTCAGGCCTGCTGGCTGTTCCCACCACTTCCCAGCCTTCTGCACTTTTGGCCTAGAAAAGGAAAGAAAGAAATAATTGCCAATTACTCGAGCTTAAAAAGAACTCAAGTTTGCAAGCACTCTATTTTTCACATTTTCAGTTAAGCTGTCTAGGGGTTTTTTTTTGGCACACCTTCAATTTTTACCTGCAAAGGGCTCCCTCTCACACCTCACTGCATAGGGAAAAAAGATTCCCAGCAGCTCTCCCCAGCCCTGGTTCCTCCTGTTCCCTGCTCCAAAGGCTGCCCAATGCTGCCATCGTGTGCTGGGCCTCGGGATGTTGCTGTGCCACAATCCCGAGAGAAGGGAGACAAACCCCGGCATCCCCAGAGCTGCAGGATTATCCTGGTACCTCCAGCTCCCAGAACAAACAGCCACCCTCTCCCCTACCCATGGAGTGGGGCTGGGGGTGTCCCAGCACAAACACTGCATGTCATACCCTCAGTGTTTCAGTTTCCTTGAAAAAAAGGAAACATAAAATTAAAGTGGCTCACTGTACCTTCAGAAAGCCCGGCAGATCATCTGTGCTGTACACATCAAAGACCTCCATGGTTCCAGCACTGGCTTTGCTCACTATGGGAGTCAAGGGGCAGCTGCAAGGGGAAAAGAATGGGCAAGTGTCACACGAGGGGAAATGCAGGTGAATATTTAGATCCCACTCACTACACAGATGTGTTTTTCCATGGAGAACAGGAGGGCTCAGGAATTAACCCAGGAAACGGGTCACAGGAGGGACAACAGAAACACAAAATGGGTTAAACAAGGAGAGTCCAGGGAGAGCCTGGAATCCCACACCCCACAGCCTGCCTGCAGAGCAGCAGCATCCCAAATCCTGCTCTAGAGATCTCCCTAAACAACAGCTGAGTGAGGCAGGCTGCAAACCTGTCCGGGAGGAAAAGGGGGTTGGAGGAGCCCGTAGTGGTACAAGACACATTTCTGTGTCTTGTACCTGTTTGTGTGTCTCATTACCTGTTTCTGTGGCCCATCCCTGTTTGTGTGTCTCACACCTGTTTGTGTGTCTCGTTACCTGTTTGTGTGTCTCATTATCTGTTTCTGTAACTCATTATCTGTTTCTGTGTCCCGTACCTGTTGCTGTGGCCCATTATGTGTTTCTGTGGCCCGTATCTGTTTGTTTCTGTGGCCCGTACCTGTTTCTGTGTCTCATTATCTGTTTCTGTGTCTCGTTACCTGTTTGTGTGTCTCATTATCTGTTTCTGTAACTCATTATCTGTTTCTGTGTCTCGTTACCTGTTTCTGTGTCCCGTACCTGTTGCTGTGTGTCGCCACCACTCTGTCCACCCCCAGGAAGTACGCGGAGCGCAGCAGAGCCCCCAGGTTCATGGGGTCCTGGATGTGC